TTTGTTTGTCTCTTGCCAGAGTCTCTCTACACAAGGGTTTACAGCTGCTTCTTCCAGCTATTATGGGGGAACAGACTGAACCTTGTGAAGCGGGATGTGACTTATCGATCCAGGTGGGAGGGTGGCCTAGGTATGGTCAACCCAGTTGTTTTCTTCTCTCTGATGTTTATTAAACATAATCTTGGTAGCATGTTAAAAGAGAGACCGCCTGCATGGGTAGGCCTTTTCCAAGTCTGGTTTAAGCCTTTTCTGAACTGTTGGGAGAGAGGCGGGCCAGTGAGAAGCTTGAGAGTCAGGCATGGTAAGCTCCCGGCTTATGTCGCTCCGTGCTTGAGGATACTGAGGCGGTGGTGTGTAACTGCGGAAGAGGTCAGATCGCTCCCTGGGAGACTCCTGAGGGAGAGGGTCGTGGCCTCTGTGTTTCATGCACCATTGGCCTTGAAGGATTGCCCAGGCCATATTTTGCGGGAGGGGCTACGTTTGTTAAATATGGAAGGATTCCCTTGAAGTTTAGGGACCAGGCCTGGCTTGCGCTCCATGGCAGGCTCTATGTGAGTGGAAACCTGAAGTACCGTTCTCTGGATATCTGTGATTGTCCGAGGACGGAGTGTGGGGGCAAGGTGGAATCTATGGACCACTTCTTGCTTCAGTGTCCCTTCAACATAGAGGTGTATAAAGAGGTGGGGAGGGCTCTAGACATCCCCTTCCTGCACTGCATGTCTTATGCAGAGTGGGTGTATGGGGCATTGGAAAGTCATACTGGTTTTGATTTGAACACTCTTTTTCTAGTTTGTCTAGTGACCCGTTACTACACATGGAATGCACGGTGTCAGGTTTCCCTGCAGCAGAAGGTCCTTCCTGTTCAGGTGGTGGTGTGTGACATCCTTGGTGAGGTAGGGAAGATTCGGGGTCTAGAGAAAGACAGGTTGCGGCGAAAGGCCTGGATAGAGGCGGGAGGAACATCAGGCCTGTAGCTGCAATCTGTTGATCTCTTGGTGTGGTTGCTTTCCTGTTTTCCTCTTCATTCACCCCCCCAGATTTTGGTTGGAAGGTTTTTTGAAGAATGGCTATGTGCACCTGAAGGTCTACGTTTCTTAGCTTTGGTTGTGTAGATATGTAGAACTTTCTTTTGGGCCATAAAGGCCCTGGTATGTTCTTTTTTTTTCTTGGTTGTTATGTGTGTTCCTTTGACGGCTGATGGTGGCCATAGGGAGCATAACAAAAATAGGTATATATATATTTTTCTTAATTTTACTATTGTAGTATTTTGTTTAGATTTTTTGAAGCCAGGTCAGAAAGGCCTTATACACTGTTTCCAGTTATAGTGGCTATAAAGGCCTAAGTTATTTTCCTATCTTTAGTGGTGTAATTTAATTGTATGGAGATATAGCTAGTTCTTTTTTTTTGTTTGTTTTCTGTCGTTTGATTACTGTATGAAGTTTTCTTATTTATTCTTTTGTATTTTTGTATAAAATGTAAGCTGGTTGCAAGATTTTATTTCAATAAAATATCTCCAGCTATCCTACAAGCCAGAACCCTGGTGTTAATCACTCTTCCACTGTCCACACCACACACCCCCACACCAGACACACCACAAACAGTAGCTTGCCACCACCCAACAGTTTATCCGCAGAACGGTCTGCTGGGACACCCCACACACACAGATCTCCGTCTGGCAGATCTGTTACCTTTACAATCTGCACGCAATCTGCCAACACGCAGTGCAATTGCATACAGATTGGCAATGAGGTTGACCGAGCGTATAAAGGCACTAAGATACAATACAATCTAATCTCTCCGAAGATATGAGCCTGCTTAAGTACACAGAAGTCACTTATTAATTTTAAGATTTAATATCCCGAAAGTGGGCAATGCATAAAATATGTACAAGGTATATAAAGTTACAGAAAATACAAAAATACAAGAAGACACACATAGACTATTCACTATAAAATAAAAGGGAATAAAACAGAAATACAACGTTTACCAAGATTTATCCTGTGACTGGAGCAAGTCAGAGTCCGTAATCCGTTAGTCGATCGAACCAGATCCATACCAATTACCATGTCCCAATGTAAGGGTCCTCAATTTATGGGGATATGGACGTAGGCGGGACATTAGTTCTCGGCCAATTGACTCAGGGGGGTGTTCCTGTACCCGCCCACAGGCTGTTCTGGGTGCTTAACTGCCAATTTGACCAAGACCAGCGCATCAGTCCGATCGCGACAGTACCAATCACTGTTCCGCTATCGCACTCCAGCGCCACATAACCATTTACTGCATTTTCCTGGCATTCTACATAGGCTACAAATATAGTTGTTATATGCCGATGTAGCCTACAGAGTGCCCCATCAGAAGGAAGTATTTTCATCTCTCTGCAACTAATATTTTAGCTTTTATGAGGGATGAAACATACTCCTTTGATGTATGTATATACTTTTAGAGTTCCCTAGACAGATTGGAGCCCCCCTGGTGTCATGAAGCCGAAACGTCTGCGTTTCTCTTTTAAACTTCAGGAAGATGTCAAAATCTGATTACATATAGGTGACAAAATCTTATTAGCACCCAGGTGCCACTCAGAGGCATAGCTGGGGGGGTAGGGGGGGTACATATGTACCCGGGCGCCAAGGTACAGGGGCGCCAAAATGAGGTCACAAGATCACTGCAGCGGCTGCAGCAGACGTGTCATCTGATACATCTGCCATCCACAGTGAGTTATGAGAGGAGAGAGGAGCCAGCCAGGAGAGGAGCGGAGAGGAGGGCAGTGAGCTGGGCATGGGCTGGAGGGGACGAGGGGAGAGCCAAGCCGGGTGAGTAGTGCCATGGATGAAGGGGGGGGGGCAATGTGATCGGGATGGGGGGGGTGTCTACAGGGACCATATGAAGCGGGGGGGTGTCATGAGGTGGCCGTTCGTCCCCAGGCGCAAAATATCCTAGCTATGCCTCTGGTGCCACTTCCAGCCTGAGGAAGCTAGGTCCCTTCAGATGCTAATTGGTGACCATCTGTCTCTTAATACCTTATTTCTTTAATGACAAGGAATTAACTAAATTTACAATTACATATTGCTACGGGTCACATTTCAGCTACTCAAATCTGTACATTTATGTCACAACAAGTTGCACCCTTTTGTCCGCAATGGAACTGTTCAAGTCAGTGCGACTCTGACTCGTAAGATGTGTGTGTTGTTGTCATGCCAAGGTCAAAAGAGCTCTCTAAGGTCCTCAGAAAGAAGGTTTCCTATGAGTCTGGCAAGAAATTTAAAAAGATCACAAAATTATTTGAAATCAATCAATCCACTCTAACCAAAAGAAATGTACAAGAGGTGTAGATTTCAAATGATTGCTATTTTTTCAATATTGGCTGGCACAGCAAATTTAGTCTAAGAGCTGATAGTTTGATGCTAAAAAAATCTCCAAGAAACAACATTCTTTTTTTTTGTTAAACATTATTATTATTATTGTACAGGATTTATATAGCGCCAACAGTTTGCGCAGCGCTTTACAATATAAGGGAGACAGTACAAATACAATACATTTCAGTACAGAAGGAATGTGAGGGCCCTGCTCATGGAGCTTACAATCTAAAGGGTGAAAAGTATTTCATAAATGCTGCCTATGCTCCTGTGTTCACAATGCATTAGGCTAACTGCTCAGTAAAGGACCCAGAAGCAAGTGGAGATCACTGAAGTGCCTTGCCTTGCTCTCATGGGGGATCTACTAATGAACTTGCACACAGGCCTGCTGCGTTCAAAACATCCCTGACTTGTACATAGGCCTTCACTAAGGAGTGAAAGGTAAGTGGTCTCTAAAAAACAACCACTAAGGTTGAGATTTGACCCTTCATGGTACACAGAGAAGAAAGGAATGGGTGTGATACAAGAAGTGCCATCATCCTTCGAAGATACAAAGGAGAAGCCCTCTTGTTGGTGGTATTTGTAAGACACACTGTCACGGAGTGCCCGTGACTTCCCCACCCCCCTTTGCCTGCTGTCCCTCTGCCGGATCCCTCCACCCCTCCCTCCCCTCTTGCAGACTCCTCTGTCCTTCCAGCCTACATCAAAAGGCTGTGCAGGACGGGAGGAAACGTCCCCTGTGGTGAGGTTAGCACCTCTCCTCTGGCAAAGCAGCTGGAGACAAAGGCCACGCTCCCCCCCAACCCGCGTGGCCGGAGTGAGGGGGGGGGGCAACGCGGTGCTGGGACAGCCATTGCCGGGGCAACCCGGAAGTGTCCCGCACGGCTTTAAAAAGGCTGGCGGGGGACCAGGCCGGTCTCTCTGTCCCTGTGCACGCTGCTGGAATCATCTCCCTGGAAGCCGCTGGGAGGTCCGAGTGGGGACCGGGCCTCCGCAGCCATCCCCGCTGAGCGTTCTGCATGAGACTCTCCCAAAGGTCAGAACCATCCCAGGCACAGACTCCGCACCGCCAAGACCCTGCCGAGCCCCTGCAAGCCTGCTGTGCCCCTACCTGCCGAAGCCCTCTGTGCCCCTATCGGCTGATCGCTAGGACTCTGGGAAGCCATCCTGTCTGCTGATCATTGGGCCCCTGGGAAGCCACCCTGTCTGCTGATCGTGGGGCCCCTTGGAAGCCGTCCTTTCTGCTGATCGCTGGGGGACCTGAGAAGCTGTCCTGTCTGGTGATCGTTGGTCCCCTGGGAAGCCGCCCTGACTGCTGATCGCTGGGGCCCTGGGAAGCTGCCCTGTCTGCTGATCATGGGGCCCCTGGGAAGCCGCCCTGTCTGCTGACTGCTTTGTCCCTGGAAGGTGCCTGCTGCTGAGCGTCCGCAAGTTGCCTACCTCCCTGGAAGCCACCTGCTGCTGAGCACCTGCAAGACGCCTATTGTGAGTGTCCCTAGAAGCCATGAACTGTCCCTATTGTGCGCACAGACCACCCTTGTCCTGAACTGTCCCTGTTGTGCGCACAGACCACACGTGTCCTGAACTGTCCCTGTTGTGTGCACAGACCACCCGTGTCCTGAACTGTATCCTGTTGGGTGCACAGACCACCCGTGTCCTGAACTGTCCCTGTTGTGTGCACAGACCACCCGTGTCCTGAACTGTCCCTGTTGGGTGCACAGACCACCCGTGTCCTGAACTGTCCCTATTGTGCGCACAGACCACCCGTGTCCTGAACTGTCCCTGTTGTGCGCACAGACCACCCGTGTCCTGAACTGTCCCTATTGTGCGCACAGACCACCCGTGTCCTGAACTGTCCCTGTTGTGCGCACAGACCACCCTTGTCCTGAACTGTCCCTGTTGTGCGCACAGACCACCCTTGTCCTGAACTGTCCCTGTTGTGCTCACAGACCACCCGTGTCCTAAACTGTCCCTATTGTGCGCACAGACCACCCGTGTCCTGGACTGTCCCTGTTGTGTGCACAGACCACCCATGTCCTGAACTGTCCTTGTTGTGTGCACAGACCACCCATGTCCTGAACTGTCCCTATTGTGCGTACAGACCACCCGTGTCCTGAACTGTCCCTGTTGGACGCACAGACCACCCATGTCATCAACTGTCCCTATTGTGCGCACAGACCACCCGTGTCCTGAACTGTCCCTGTTGTGCGCACAGACCACCCTTGTCCTGAACTGTCCCTGTTGTGCGCACAGACCACCCTTGTCCTGAACTGTCCCTGTTGTGCTCACAGACCACCCGTGTCCTAAACTGTCCCTATTGTGCGCACAGACCACCCGTGTCCTGGACTGTCCCTGTTGTGTGCACAGACCACCCATGTCCTGAATTGTCCTTGTTGTGTGCACAGACCACCCATGTCCTGAACTGTCCCTATTGTGCGTACAGACCACCCGTGTCCTGAACTGTCCCTGTTGGACGCACAGACCACCCATGTCATCAACTGTCCCTATTGTGCGCACAGATCACCCGTGTCCTGAACTGTCCCTATTGTGCACTCAGACCACCCTTGTCATGAGCTGCCCCTGTTACACGCCCAGACTACCCTTACTTGAACCGCCCCATAGTGTGCCCGGAGTATAGCTACCTGGGATGCCCCTGAGTGTTTGAGCCATCACTACCTGCTGAGTCACCGTGAGTCTGTTGTCCCTAGTACGCTGTGTCGGAGCTGTGTTGAGGCCAGACTCCACAGCCAAAGCCCCGTTGAATCCCTGTGAGCCTGATGTTGTCCCTAATACGCTGTGTGGGAGCTGTGTTGAGGCCAGACTCCACAGCCAAAGACCCATTGGGTCCCCGTGAGCCTGTTGTCCCTAGTATGCTGTGTGGGAGCTGTGTTGAGGTGAGACTCCGTTGAGTCCCCGTGATCCTGTTGTCCCTAGTACGCTGTGTGGGAGCTGTGTTGAAGCCAGACTCCACAGCCAAAGTCCCGTTGGGTCACCGTGAGCCTGTTGTCCCTAGTACGCTGTGTGGGAGCTGTGTTGAGGCCAGACTCCACAGCCAAAGTCCTGTTGGGTCCCCGTGAACCTGTTGTCCCTAGTATGCTGTGTGGGAGATGTGTTGAGGCCAGACTCCACAGCCAAAGTCCCGTTGGGTCCCCGTGAGCCCGCTTACCATGGGTGTCCCTACAAGTCGCATGTCGCGGAGTGCCATGAACTGTCCTGATTGAGTGTCTTTTATAGTTCAATAAAGCTTTGTGTGTTCCCCATCTTCTTTGTGTGTTCTGTCCTGCCTACGCTTCCGTCACACACACGTTAGACCAAAGAGTATCCTAACAAATAACAATTTAAAGAGAACCATTTTTTATTTGTACAATCTTGTAAAAGGCATATAATTACAATTACAAAATATGGTGGTATCACCAGACATGATTTTACAATAAATATGTGAAGATGAGTCATGCGTGTATTTGCACTTGACGTGTTTCGAGACCTATCACAGAAGAAGAGATTGTGACTGGTCTCGAAAAAGCGTCAAGTGCAAATACTCGCATGACTCATCTTCACATATTTATTGTAAAATTACATCTGGTGATACCGCCACATTTTGTAATTGTAATTATATGTCTTTTACTAGATTGCACATATAAAAAATGGTTCTCTTTTAAATCGTTATTTGTTAGGATACTCTTTTGTCCAACGTGTGCCTTAAAAATCCCACCAACAAGAGGGCTTCTCCTTGATGGTACACAAGGTCAAAGGCCAATCCAGACCACACTGAGAAAAGACAGGATTTGTCACACGGAGAACTTCCTGGGATGGATTTATTACTTGTTAGTCACATTCATAACTTACCAAGCCCTTCTTTAGTTCCAAGAGTATGATACCCCCAGCAGAGGATGATACCCCAGCATTTATATTCCCATGTGAGACCATCTTGGAATGCACAAATGTTGATTGCCCACAATCAGGAGGACAGTTGTCAATATTGTGCTGTGCCAGGGATGGTTGTTCCATTTTGACGCAGATTGCCTGTTTCACACCTTATAAACTAGTCATCCTTCTCTGTCCAAAATGTATACTTCACTGTCCTCAAAAGAACGCCATTTTTCCTAAAAATGCAGGAAGACTGCTGAGTCTGGACCTGAAGAATTTGACCTCCTAGGATCATTTATTTGTTGAGAGGTTGTACATGTCTCTGTATTACGTCCTACAATGCACTGCATATACAGTACCAAGTTAATTTGCTTTTGTTTGGGTGTTGGGTTTTTAGAATGTACAATCATCTGTCTCAGTGTGTTGCAGGCAGTGGTGTATTTAGGTTTTGTGCTGCCCTGGGCAATACAAAAATTGGTGCCCCCCCCACAGAAAGAGCCTGACATTGACCAAGAACACCCCTGCCCTCCACCCAAGCCTTCCACTACCACTGCCCCCATACACCAGCCACCTTCCCCTATGGCGAGAGAGAGAAAGACACTCACCTTCACAGCACCAGACATCCCCAGGAACATACACCGTGCATACACCGTAATGAAACCCACAACATCTCTTGGAACCCACCAGAGCCCCATGCCGTGTGTGTCCCTTCTTCCGTCCCTTCTTCTGAGGGGAAGTGCTGCCCCCCCTGAAAAATGCCGCCCTAGGCAAATTCCTTGTTTGCCTTGTTGTAAATACACACCTGGTTGTAGGGCTTGAAGGACACAGAGATGCATACATACTACTATATATATATATATATATATATATAGACTATATTACTCCATGTGTTCTACTTCTTCCTTCTGTTCAGCGGTCCAATGTTTTGCATGTTCTTGTGATTCTTCTAGCAAGGGCCCAGTCTGGGTAGACACAAACTTTCAAGGTATTCCGGAGATCTCTGTGTTCTTTGTTACCATCTCAGCGCAATGCAGTTTGTGCTTCAATAGGTGGTGGGAGTCAAAAAGTAGATACTAGTCTGTCTGGGTAGGTTTCCTGAGACATCAATGTCCAGGTCACCACCCCTCCTTGATTTGAAAACAACACAATCCAAAAAGGGTAATTTGTTATTCTGTGCCTCTTCTAAACTTGATGTAAGTACCCACTGACTTTGTGTTCACTAAAAGCTTGTATTTTTGATCTTCTAATCTTGACCCATGTATCCTCCAAAAACCTAAACCAATGACTTGGTGATAGTCAACACAGGCGATGGTGCATTCCTCCCACCCCATTCCCCCATTCCTACACCCTAAAGCAGCTACCTAAGCTGTCTTATGTTGGTTCTGGCCCTGTACGTGTGTGCATGTGCATATATGTATGTATTTGTATACATGCATGTTTGTGTGAATGTGTGTGTATATATGGTATATGTATATGTGAATGGGTGTGCATGGCATGTGTTTGTATAACTATATATGTGTATACATGTATCAGTGTGTTTATATGTTTATATCTCATATAAAAAATAAATAAGATCGCATACACAAAGCATAGCTGTGCTATTGTAATGGTGGTTATAGATGCCTCAATTTTATTATCTGATTGATGTGTGATTCATTTAGAATGATTGAATTGGCAAACAACTGAACAGTCATGCCTTCAATTCTGAGTGATCTAGATCGAATCTGGATTAAACTGAGTTGACCAACTAGAACAGAAAACTATTGAATGTGTTGTATCTATCGGCAGCACTAAGATACTTTGTTTGTGAATCTGATTGAGTTTTGATCAGATTATGATATGATATTGTATGGCTGATACAGAGATGCAACTGATAACCTACATTCGTATCTTCCAACTATGGATGGGAATCCTCTTTCCAGTCCACCACCCATATGGATAGAATGGATGGCTAAGTAGAGATGGATTATGGAAGAATGGAGATGGATTAGAGAAGACATTGATCTTTGATGGAAGTGTGTATGGCCACAAATACACAATGCCATGGAGGGGATGCTGTGATCGCACACATGTGATGGCAGGAGAGGGATGATTGGACAGAGGAAGGTTTCCAGCTGTCACACCCCCCTCCATCCTCATGTACACATACAGACATGCTCCAGTCTGCTCCCTTCTCTGGGATCTCTGATGACAGCTGTGCCTTTTATTCTGCTAGGCTGTTTGTGCAATGCTCAGACAGCCAGACACACCATATGCTGCTCTATCCAGAGCACTCCTGTGTGTGACCTGGGATAACATGTGATGTCTCTGGGTGTGTGGAGGCTCCAGTTTCTGGGTTTACACCTCAAAATGATTGACAATATGAATTTGAAGGTTATCATTTATCCAGGTTTTGGTATATCTGATTCTAGTAATAGTTAGCCACATTCAATGGGACTTTTTTTTGTAATATTGACGATGACTCATAACACTTTTTCATGAGGGTGGCTTGGTCATTGAGGCTTGCAGGAAACCTACCCTCACAGACCAGTATCTGCTTTTTGACTTCCACCACCTGCTAGAACACAAACTGGAGGTTATTAGAACTTTGCAAGGGCGAGTAGGCAAGGAAGGAGTTTCAGAGAAAGAAAAACATAGATCAATCATGCAAAGGCTAGAGGATCTGTGGATATGAAATATGTTGTTAAACCTAGAAGCCAGGAGGTCCATGTCCAGCATTTCCCACGGCAAAAAAAGAATCTTGAAACACCTCCTGGTGAAGAGACTTATCTCTAGAGTGCAGATGTTGATAACCCAGGAAGTCTCCCTGCTGGCTTTCCACACCCAAGATGTGCACAATGGTCAGGGCTGGAACATGAAGTTCTGCCCAAGGCAAAATAAGAGCCACTTCTCCTTAAACCGTGGGACTACTTGTGTCTCCCCGATGGTTGATGTAAGGCACTTCCCCACTTTGGAGCAAAATTCAAACAGCAATATGAATATGAACAATTTCCAAAAGATGTGAAAAACTCACATCACAAAACACTTTCCAAAAACTGATGTCAAATAACAGTTGAAATACACTCAGTTTTAGTCCAAACAACTTTAAAAGCGACAGAAAGTCCTATACAACTAGCAGCTTCACCCTGAAAAATCACAACAATGTGATCCACTGTGTGTTCAATCCTCCTTCAGAGCATCATCCACCTCCATACCAATGACTGAAACCTCATTCACCAGATTTTTATGACCATCTATTGCTAAGTAGGTTTAAGTTCTCTGATGCGTAGCAATTAATAAGGTAACCTCTGTTAACTTATTATCTGACAAGGCAGACCACTGGACTTGCTTGACGTTTGATCCCTGAGCCTGGCAGGGTTGGGTTTTTTTTTTTCACGCAGTCCAACTGAAACTCCACAGAAAGGGATTGGAAAATAGTTACGTACTTTAACCCATCCTTTTTTATCCCACTCTTGGTCATCAGATTCCACATTAGTTTGTAAGGGTGAGGACAGGGGTCAGCAGCTATGAGGCTATTGGTCAGCAGGGTATAAGACAGGGGTTACAGCCCGCAAGGCAAAGGAAAAAAGTCACTTCTGGCAGGCAGAGGACAAAGGTAACCGCTAGCAGGGCAAAGGACAGAGATCATTGCTTTTAAAAACATTTCCAGGGTCACATTTTTTCACTGTGTGTCCAGAAAGCCATTGTAGAAGGAGAATGTACTGTAATTAGGGATGGGGCATTAATTTAAAACAGGCATGGTTTTGCAAGCATGTTTTAAAGAAAAAAGGGGGTGCTGTTGTGCTTAGGAAAAAATTAATTAACATATATGTGAAAGAATTTAACTATATATAAGATACCTATTTTGATATATATATGGTTTTACAAGCGGCATATCAATAACCTAATGCCATACTTTAATTAAACATGTAGAAGAAATCTGCTCTGGGGAATGTGGGTAGGAGGAAGAGCACATGAGCAGAAAACCTAAGGGAGGAAGGAAGGAAGGAAGGAAGGAAGGAAGGAAGGGGGAGAAAAAGAGAGAGAGAGAAGAGAGAGAGAGAGAGCTAAGTGCAGAAAGTACTGAGTTAAGGTCCCATTAACGCTAGGGGTCTTAGAAAGGGAGAAAGGAGCAGCAATGTGAGTGACACCTTGGCTAAAGATACAAACCAAACAATGAGAGGCCAAGGCCACAAACTTCAAGTTTCTTGTGCTGCCATCATGATTTATGTAAGCCAAAGCAATGGTGTTGTTTTACTGGATTCTTAAGGGATGGTCCGCCAGCTGCAGCATCCAGTGGATACGT